AAAACCTACTACCAAAAAATTTTTTCTCACACCAAACACACAACGATGACGTGCCCTGCTTCCTTCTCTTCCCTTTTCTCTTCCTCCTTCCCTCACTTTCTTCCTCCCTTTTGTCATCCCCCTTCCTTATTTCCTTTCTTCTAAATGCTGGACCAAATATGCTATGAAAAAGCACCTCTGGCCCTCGCATCGAGAGAGCATCCATTTCACAGATGCCTTGTAACCTGTCGGTGTGGATACACAAGCGGCATGGGCTATCGCTACCCAACAATCTCACTTCCATGTAAATAGTTTCAAGGCCCAAAAGTGGGGCTATTCTGCCACTGCGGAACCGTCCCACTTGTGTATGGATAAAGCCCACTTCCTAAGGCAATGTGCTGCAAGTGCTGAAAAACATCTCCTCCTTCAAACCAAGAGTGTGAACTTTCGAAGTGCGGTTGAGTTTTTGTAAGTCAAAAGAAACACGTGCAACGTATTGTGGCTGCCTAAATGTCCTATAGTTCTTTGCCAAATCCCTTCCCATTTCAAACAGCTCCTTCTTGTGACACATTTCTATTGACTATCTGTAAACACTTCGCTGTGAAAACCACAGCTTGCATGAGCTACGTTCCTTCAGCTCTCTTCACGGCACTTTAACACCCAATCTTATTTTAATTCAGTTACTCGCAAACTACTTGAAGAGACACCATCGTAAATATTCGTTTCAGCTCCAGAGAAGTACACTTGACAATTCTCATGAGTAATCACGATAATTCCATTAGCTCTTGAATACCATGTGCTTATAAGGATCGTGCGAATACAACAGCATACGATTTACCTACATGAAAAAAGATTGACAATCTATACAATCTGTATCAGGAAGTCTAGTGCTTTTTTCGTTCCTCCTCGAATCCAACGCCGGGCACATACTGCTCCCGAGGATTGTGGAACAATGAGTGGTTACCATCTCCCCATGGGAAAGGCTGAAAGAAAAAAAATACCATGTACATTCAACTTCGAAATTTTTTTTTGCTTCTGTCTCTTATTGTTTTTGGAATTGAGGCAGGATGAAGAGTACTATGATAAGAGAATAACTTGACAATTGAGGAATAACCTTGTTTCTGACGTTGAGGTAAGGATATTCAACGAATTCCGGACGATCGTGTGCCATGTGGTTGGTATGGTCTTTGTAGGCAGCATACATTGTCAGGGCAAGGCATGGGATCGAAGCCCAGATGAAAATCTTCTTCCATGTTGTCTTGGTCGCTAAGAGGAGCATAAATGAGCATAAAAGCTGCTAACACCGAAAGCCATCCATTGTTTTGAAAACATGCAAATTGCTTCATTCGTTAGACAGCGTTCAGACTTCGCGATGACGCGAGGCAGCGAGCGTCATCGCGAAGGCTGAACCTGTCCCTGCCTTGGAATAGAAACAACTCAAAGGACACTTTACAAATGATAAAATCAATAGAAACATTAGATCATTAGATGGCGGCGTACACCTCACTCTAAAGCAAGAAAGTGCGATTTATCAGTCTTGTGATAGCCGTCGTATACCGAATGATAGAATGATGGAAACGCTTTTGATGAGTCTATCCTCCCATTGAACCTGGGAACGTAACCCTTGCGGCACGAATTTTAAGAGTGCCACTAGCGCAATTCAATAAAGGAGCTCATCCAGTCATTGTGGTCAATTGTGATAAAACGGTAACCTGACCACGGGACTGATGGTTACCACAAACACTTGAAATTCACCAATGCTAATTTTGAGGATTCACTTTTATTCACTGTTTCTCGTAATCCCACCAAATACCTGCTCATTAGTGCTCGCCGAGCTAATGAGTTAAGACGAAACGAGTGATGAGTGAAAATAAGTTGTTTGGGCACACCTATGAAAAGAAGTGCTTTCACATTTTGCACTCACACTCTACGACAATCGATCTAGGAAAACATGGACATCGATCTAGCGTCTTCCAAATACTACGCAGACACATCATCAAAATTCCACTCGCCCTCTCAAAAAATTGCTGATAATTTATTTCTTCTAGTTTATCTGATAACTGATGATAGCCTAGTTTTTTTTGAATATATGGCTCGAAATATATTTTGAGTAGTGTCTACAAAAGTCAAAATTCCATAAAAATTTCATTTTGTTGTGAATCAGGTTTGCACGTTGATTCAAGCACGAGTTGTCGAAGTCATCCAACTTTATAACCGAAAGCAGTTTATGGGCACTACTCGGCGGTGAGG